CCCCCACCGTAGGTGACTTTTTCAGAGAGCGATATCCTCCCTTGGCGTGCGTTACGCATTCACGGTCCACGTTTTGCTGCGGCTGTCACAAAGCGCTTCACAAAACGGTTCACATCAAGTCAAATGATAAACGCAACCCAGAACAGGCTTGATCTCAGTTGGACTGTTTTGGTGCTTTCGACCATCTTTGTTCCTGATTGATAGCGTTCTTGTTGTATAACACGTTTTGCTGCGGCTGTCACAAAACGGTTCACATCAAGTCAAATCATAAACGCAACCCAGAACAGACTTGATCTTAGTTGGACTGCTTTGGTGCTTTCGACTATCTTTGTTCCTGATTGATAGCGTTCTTGTTGTATATGTGCTCGTTGCAACCCGCACGGCGCTTTGTACGCAGCGACGGCCGTTTGAAAGTGCTCGAGTTGACTTGAGCGTTCCTCCAACTGACCCTCTGGTCTGCTCGTTGTGACGCTCGGGCACGACAATCGGCGAGCGATACACCGAGCGTGAATGCAAAGCTTATCAACATAGCCGGCCGGCGAGCTTTCACGGTTGCGACCGTTGGGCGATCGTGTCGGATGACTCGGCGGTTTGGGTTTGAGGCGCGCCACGCCTCCGCAACAAGAGCATCCCCCGCCAGCGCTCATCGTCGTCATTGTCGTCGTCGTGGTGGTGTTGTGTTGTGTTGTTTGTCTGCGCGCGTGCTGTCGGCGCACGCGAGTGACGTGCGCGGCCCTCGTTTCCCCCAGCAGGGCTATGTCCTCGGCAGCCACCACGCCCCCATCCGTGGACAAAGTGGACGGATTTTCCCGCAAGTCTGTCAGGAAGGCCAAGCAGAAGCGCTCGCAGAGCTCGTCCCAGTTCCGCTCTCAGGGCAAACCCATCGAGCTCACGCCGTTGCCGCTGCTCAAAGGTAAGCCGCCGCCGCCGCCGCAGATTTGCTAGCCGGGCCCACTGAATCCGCCTCCGTCTCCTCGCACCGGCGCAAGCTTAGGGATGCAACTCGGGATGCTCGTGATCATCGAGGAATCGGATGAGATAAAAAACAACAACATTGCCACGTTTTTCGCGCCTTTGCCCTTTTTTTAAATCGTTTTAAAATTGCATTGATTTATTTTTAATACAAACGTGACAAGTTGCATTGCTGACTTCTGCATTGCCTGTCAAAATGAGGATTTGCTTTTTGAACAGCAGCCCAATAGAAAGACCTTCTCAACAAATGGCATTTGATACATACATAGATGTAGAATGTGGAGATCTAATATGCTATATTTATTTGGCCGATTATTTGAAGCGCTCCAATCGGGAGGCCCGATCTCGTCGCGTTCACAATCTTCCCCAAAGTCCATTTCTGCAAATGGATTCGGAAGTTGCTTCCCTTTGAATTGCAGCCAAAGTCCCCAAAACAAGTCCCGGCCGGGCCCACTTTGGGCTTGCTAGAACTCAAATGAAAAACGAAAGCTAACTTTGACCATGACGATGACCGCGTTTGTCAACCCCAAAAAGTCTCTTGCGGAGGCGCCGCCGCCGTTTCGACCCGGAAGGGGCTTGCTTGCCTCACAACATGCGGCTTTTGCAAATCCACTCCCGGCGCACGTCGCCGACTTTGCCCCAAAAGTGGCCCGCTTCTCTTTTCCGGAACTTGTCGACAAGGGTGGAATTGATCCTGCCCGGCCGGGAGCTCGGCGGCTCGGTTCCCCCTGCCCGCCCCCGAAAACTCTCATCTTGGAATTGCGACCGACCGAAGCGGTCCGTCTCGACATTTGGGAGCGTTGTTGACTCTTTGGAGAGGTCCCTTTGCCGCCGGCAGCTCTATCGTAGCACGCCGGCGCGCGAGGGGAAGGACGGCGGCGCCCGTTTGGGGCCGGCTTGCGTCCGAGCTTCCCGGTCATCGGGTTCAAACCGAGGCCCTCAAAAATAGCCGCAGCGAGCCGCCCGCCCCGTTTGACTGCCGGAGCCCGCCACCCGCCGACCTCATCTCGCCCCTCTCCCGCCCCGGGAGAAACCCGAGCCGCGGGGTGTCGCTTTACATTTTCCCAGCGGCGACACTTGCTCCAAACGAGGCCCGGCGAGGCGCGCCGCCAAACGCGTCGGCCGCACTCGCCTGCGCGTTTCCTCTCCGCCGCCGGCGAGGGAGCGGCGCCCTAACCGAAGGAGCGTCGGGGCTCCAGGTGGGTGTCGGGGGAAGTTAAAGTTAGCCCGTCGCTCGTAAACCTTCAAACGGCCGCGAGACGCTTCCTCAACGGGGGGGGACTTCTTTTTGGGGGCGGGGGGGAAGACGGTTTGTGCTTTGGGAGAAGAGGCGCTCTTGACATTTGCTGAGGCGCCGCCGCCGCAAGTCCAACGTCAATCCGGCGAGGCTCTTTGGCTGCCACCCTCGCAAATCCTCGAAAGCGCAGCGTTCACTCCCTCCCAAACGATTCAAATCCCTCCAAGGATCTTGCTCGACGTGATTCGCTTGCGGCGCGGGCCCCGTGGCAACCGGGGGTCGGGGGATCGCTCCCCGGCCTTTGCGACGGCGTCGACGCGTCCTCGAGCCCCAGGTGGCGCCTGGCGCTGCGTCATCGGGAAGTCACGGCGTGAAGCGCTTTGAGCACCCAACCTGGAAGAGACCTGACAGCCCTTTGTTGACATTTACTGTTTGTCACGACCCCCCGACCGCTTTTTGAAAACATTTTAGAGAAAAGAAGAAAAGGTCACACTTTATCTTGGGCTGCAACTCCCAATTCTTTTCATCGACGTCTGTGATTTTTGAATATTTTTTTCCTCTCTTCTTACTTTTACCTGCACGTTAGCTTGCGTGACGACGTGAGTGAGCTTTTGGTTTTCCGACGTACGGCGTTGTACGAATCGCGACGAGCCGCCGATCGCTTTGCACCGTCGTGGTCGGAATCCACACTCACGATGAGCAACAATGGCATAAATATGCGTTTGGATTGACCGGCGGCTTTCTTGCCGGGCCGCCCGCGGCGCGCAGACGTGCCGGCCCCGGAGCAGCCAGAGCTGTTCCTGAAGAAGCTGCAGCAGTGCTGCACCGTCTTTGACTTCATGGACACGCTGTCGGACCTGAAAATGAAGGAGTACAAGCGCTCCACGCTCAACGAGCTGGTGGACTACGTCACCGTCAGCCGCGGCTACCTGACGGAGCAGGCCTACCCCGAAGTGGTCAAAATGGTGAGTGCGCCGCCGCCGCCGCCCCGTCCGCGCTTGGGGGCCTCACGCCTTCCCCGCCTTTCCCCGGCCGCAGGTGTCTCACAACATTTTCCGGACCCTCCCGCCGAGCGACAGTAACGAGTTTGACCCCGAAGAGGACGAGCCCACGCTGGAGGCGTCCTGGCCTCACTTACAGGTGAGCGCTGGCCGCGCCTGCGCTTTTGGCCCGCCCTTTCTCTCCCGCTGACGGCCGTTGTCGTCGTTCTCCTCAGTTGGTGTACGAGTTCTTCATTCGCTTCCTGGAAAGTCAGGAGTTCCAGCCCAGCATTGCCAAAAAGTACATAGACCAGAAGTTTGTCCTGCAGGTGCGCCCGCCCGCCCGCCCGCATTCACACTCGCACGCTTCCTGACGCTCGCGCTCACAGCTGCGCCGCCGCCGCGTTCGGAGCCTCGAGGCCGCCGGCCGCTTTTCTGCCGTCGTTCGGAGGGAGATCGGCTCCACCGTGACTTAGCGGGAGGCCGATCGTCAGGGAAAAAAAGTTGCTGACTTGCCGTGCCGGCCTAATGTTTGCCTTTGCCCCTCCCCCCCCCCCAGCTCCTGGAGCTGTTCGACAGCGAGGACCCTCGGGAGCGAGACTACCTGAAGACGGTTCTGCATAGAATCTACGGCAAATTCCTGGGACTGAGGGCTTTTATACGAAAACAGATCAATAATATTTTTCTACGGTCAGCGCACACGTTTGCGTCACACTTGATGACTTTCACTTGTGAAATGCTGTGCCTGCAAGTTGGTGGTGATTTGAAACGTGCCTTTTTCTTTTCTGTCCCCCCGCCGCAGTTTTGTTTATGAGACGGAGCACTTCAACGGGGTGGCGGAATTGCTGGAGATCCTGGGCAGGTATGTGGACGGACGCCCTCATCTTCGCATTTCATCAGCCAAATGAATGAGCGTTGTTTTTTTTTCTTGTTTTTGTGTGCCTGTGTGTGCGCTCGCAGTATAATCAATGGTTTCGCCCTGCCGCTGAAGGCGGAGCATAAACAGTTTCTGGTCAAAGTGTTGATCCCGCTCCACACGGTCCGCAGCCTGTCGCTCTTCCACGCGCAGGTAGGCGGGCGGGCGCCCGAGACCGCGGCCGGCCGCCCTCGTCTTCCGCGTTCCGAGTCGAGCGCTCTTCTCCTTTCTTTTGTGCAGTTGGCGTATTGCATTGTACAGTTCCTAGAGAAAGACCCCACATTAACGGAACCGGTGAGTACGTCGGCTCGTATCAACGTATCGGCCAATGGGCGGCGATCCGAATCAGCTTTCCAAAGTCAAATCGGATGGTTTGCAAATTTATTTCGGGGGGGGGGGGCGGCTCTCACGCTCAAGCGCGCCTGACTAGTTAGCGCTGTCGGCCGAGGAGCGGCGAGCTCGTCGAACACGCCGTCACGCCTCCCCCCCGCCAGACTTGATGAACGTGAAGCAAGACTCGCGCTCAGCGCCGCGCGCACGTCACCCGTTCCGGATCCCGGAGACGCTTGTTGCTGATGCGTCGGGCTGCCGACTCTGACGCAATTGTCCGATTTGTTCAGGTCATCCGAGGATTATTGAAGTTCTGGCCCAAAACTTGCAGTCAAAAAGAGGTGAGTCGCTTCTTCTCTCGCTCGTCGTCGTCGTGGTTGCCGCCGCCGCCGCTTAAGGCCTTTGCCCGCCCCGCGCCAGGTGATGTTTCTGGGCGAGCTGGAGGAGATCCTGGACGTGATCGAGCCCACCCAGTTCGTCAAGATCCAGGAGCCGCTCTTCAAACAGATTTCCAGATGCGTGTCCAGCCCGCACTTCCAGGTCTGCCGCCGCCGCCGGGGACGCGGACGACGGGGCGCTCGGGGTTGTGACGGTGCCGCTCTTTGTGCCGCGCTCGCGCGCAGGTGGCCGAGCGGGCGCTCTACTACTGGAACAACGAGTACATCATGAGCCTGATTGAGGAGAACTCCAGCGTCATCCTGCCCATCATGTTTGCCAGCCTCTACCGCATCTCCAAAGAGCACTGGAACCCGTGAGCCAAGCGCGCCTCGCCAAACGCTCCTCTTTTCTCCGTTGCTCGCTAACTTGTCGACCGGAAGACCGCATCCTCCTCAGTCACTGGTTCGCGGCCGCAGAGCCTTTTTCCGCCAGGGGTGCCAAATTCCGGTCCCGGAGCGCCGCTCGCCCGCCCGCGTCTTTCGGAGCTCTCCCTCCGCAACCCCGCCCCATTCGCAAGAGCGGCTCCGCGGGAGCCCGACGACGCCCCCGAGCCGCGCCGGAGGAGGGAGACGCAGGATCGTGGCCCCCGAGGGCCGGACTTTGGCACCCCCGCAGGCTAGCCCGCGTGACGGTGTGCGACGCCGCGGCTTTCGAGCAGATATGTGCGCCGGGATACCGAGAGATGAGGAGGAAAGGTCGCTGCCGCTCGAGTCACCGCTCCGATGATGAGGCCCCCGTCTAACAAAACCGGCCTCGTCTCGCCCGAACTCAGCAATTGTTCCGTTGGGGCGCGGGTGACTTTTGTTTGCGCCGCGGGCATCTGGAGACTCCCGCCGTTGACCGCTCTGTGGTGTTCCTCAGGGCTATCGTGGCGCTGGTGTACAACGTGCTGAAGGCCTTCATGGAGATGAACAGTACTTTGTTCGACGAACTCACCGCCACGTACAAGTCAGACCGCCAGCGGTAAGAAACGTGGCGCTCGCTGCCCTTGGAGTGGATGAGCCTTCTCCTTTAAACCGGCAAAGTCCCCACCCTTAGCCATCACTTTTCTTAGTTTTTTTTTTTTTTTTTTATGGATTGGTCTCAAAGCAACCAAGTCATCCAAAGCTACAAAAGCTATCGTGTCAGAGGGAGCCGTGACGGCTTCATTTGATAGGACAACAAGTGTCCCGCACGCGCACGGAGGCGCGTCTGCGTTTTCACGCCGGCCTCCCTCCGCGCTGCGCCGCTACATCAATTGAAGCGAGGAGGACACGCAAAAGATGTGGGATTTGCCCGCTCGAAAGGCGAGCGGTGACGCGCGGATGAGCATTGTGACGCGGGCGCCCCGTGACCTTGCGATTTGTTGTGCACCGTTGGCCGCAGGGAGAAGAAGAAGGAGAAGGAGCGCGAGGAGCTGTGGAAGAAGCTGGAGGACTTGGAGCTCAAGCGAGGCCTACGGAGCGACGGCATCATCCCCACTTAACACTCCACACGATACCCCGCGCCCTCACATCGGCTGTATCCCCCCAAACCGGCCGGCAGCGTCTGCCGTTTGGATCGGGAACGCCGCCGCTGGTCTCTTAAATTGTTTTTCTTTTTCTTATTTTGTTTTTTTTTTTCTTGTGTTTGTGCGATTACTTTCCAATAGATTCATCATCACGTCTGTTTTCATGCTTTCAACACTGTAAATATTTTTTTTTCTTTTTCCCTTCAACTGATATTATTACAAACGGACGGGAAAAAAAAAACTAAACAATAACAATAAAAAAAAAAAAGGAAAATTCAGAAAATGAGAAAATGACTCGTGTGGGGCGGGACTTCAAACAAAGCCAAATGTTTGGACCTTTGGCGCACTTTGCGCATCTCGATGTCCTTGGACCTCGGCTTCTACTCCTTCAACTTCTTTGACGACTTCTTGTGAGAAAAGCGCCCGTGCCCTTCTACTTTGGCCAAGAGGAACGGGGCCGTTCTTGCTCTCATCCGACTTGCGCCTACTTGCGCGTTTGTGGCCTCTCGTTGCCGACCGGCTCACTCTTCCCTTCGGATGGTAGCGAGCTGCGAGGACTCGCTGCGAGGACTCGCTGCGAGGACTCGCTGCGAGGACTCGCTGCAGCCGCGCGGTAACAAAGATGCAAATAACGGCGCGCTGCTCAGCAACGAGGCAAATCCCCATCTTTGACCACCGGATCCGAGTGGCAAGCGGCCACTCGCTGACTTTTTGGGTGACGGAAGACAGCGAGCGTCGGCGTTCGGGTCGGGGCGGGATTTTGGCGCCCGTCGACCGGCCGGTGTCGGTCTGGTACCGATGCCCGCCCTCGGTGGTCCAATGAGACCTCTTGGGAACGCCGCGAGTCATATTGAGTACCGCGGGATCGATGGGGGACGCCGAGGGTTCTGCGCGTCACCTCGTCAATTGGAAACCATCGTGTCCACGCTTTGTCGTCTTTGACTTTGGTGTCAGCGCAACGCGCGAGGTCATCCGATCCTCGCCGCTAGAATGACCGGGCTACGGTCGAGCCTCGCGGCGGCGCAGCGACCGACCTGTCGTCGATGACTCGGTGGCAAGATGGACAGGACCAGAAATGCACTTCGCTCCCAAAAAATGCAACGGTTCCAACTTCAACACGGCACTTAAACACAGTCGAGGCAAACGAGACGACTTCATACTAGAAAGGGAATTACAAGTGAAGTTTAGTGGTAAGAAAACCAACTTGAAGATGGCAAAGTGATGTGCACGTGACACTTTGAGTTGAGCGATTCCGTTGGCTGCCGCAGGAGGGAGCCCGCGTCCCGAAAGGAACAAAACGTTTTCAAGATGGCGGCGCTGACGTCAACCAATGAGTTTGTTGATTAGTTGTGGCACGAAGTTAGCGCGTCACTCAGTCAGGGTTGACTGCTGAATCATTTGCCGTATTGAACCGCTTTTCCAATCTTGCTTTCATCGTTCGCTATCAACACGTGTTTTGGGGGGGGGCAGCGAGGGGGCAACGTGTTGCAAGGGGAGTGTCTGAAATAATAAGGGGAGGGGCTTGACTTTGGCCCATTTCTCTTTTTGATTTTTTGATTGATTTGCATGATTTTGTCATTCTTTTCTAGTTTTGGACATTTTGTGGTGGTGGTGGTGGGGGGTGTCGAGATTTTTTTTCATTCTGAATTTAGTTTGGAAAATTGTTGCGAGCCTCCCGTTTCTCCACTTGAACATGGGCGATGTTTTCTTTGCCCTCCCCCCGCGACGCTTCAATTGGGAGCCACTCGCGTGTCGATGAGTGAGTTTTCTTTTTTTTCCTGCGCGAGGCTTTGGGGATGCGAAGTGCGCTACCCGTTTGGGCCACCCGAGGGCGCCCGCAGCTCACGCCGGGACGTGGAGTTGTCGCGGCCTTCACGCCTCGAGCCTCCTCATCTTCTTTCCCTCCTTCGTCCTCTTTTGATTGCCTTCTCTCTTTCGTCTTCTCCGTTTTTCTTCGTCCCTTCGGTTGGCTCCCGCGGGCTCGCGTCGGCCTCTGGATGTCGCCGGAGAGCCGAGCGGGAGGTCTCGCGCTCGCTCACCCCCCCCCCCCCCCCCCCCCCTCTTCTTGGTTATGCGCGTGCGCGTCAACACGAACTTGGACGCCGGGAAGGCTCCCGATCGGCACCGGGAGCGGAGGACGCCAGCATGCCCGGCGGCAAGCGAGGTCCGGTGGCGCCGCAGAACACTTTTCTGGAGAACGTCGTCGTCAGGTCCACCGGTGAGTCCGCGTCTCCTTTCACGCGCCAAATGTCGAATTCAAAGTTGTTGGCGCGAGGGAACACGGTCCGCTCGTCGTGTGGTACGCCCGCCACCCGTCACCAATCGGGTTGGTTTGTTTTTGTTTTTTTTCCACGACAACCGTGAGTGTCAACGAGTCGCACATTCGTCATTTTCGTGCTCGCGCGGTCCACACGAGACTGACTTGTCTTCCACAATCAAATATAATCCCGTAAAATGTTGTTCTTCCAGGCATGTTGTGCACTGGACCGAATCAAGTGGCCCGTTTGGACACGGTGGACTGCCGCCACTTTTTTCTTTTTTTTTGGGTGGGGGACGTCCAACATTGGAGTCCTAAATGATTTCTTTTCTGTTCTTGGGCGCTCGTTTTGTGAAGGAAACTTCCGCATGCCGAGCTCGTGTCCCGACCAAAGCGGAAAGGCTGCAAAAGAGCAATCGGGCCACCGTCACCCGTCATGGCCTTCACCCTTGTCTGCTTGACCTTTTTGGGCGCCATCACTCATTGACTTCAGTGTTGGTTTTCCTCATCGTCTTCCTTCCCGTCATCTTCTCGACTTTGTCGTCTGTCTCCGTCGTCGTCATCATCCTGCGCTCACAAAATGTTCCAAGCGTGTCCTTGTTGTTTTCACCACGCGACATGATTATCGTCCAAGGCGGTCGGTCGCTTGGGGCCGGCGTGCCAGTGCTGCCTGGGGGAGTCCCCGCCGCCCCCGCCCCCGAGCTCCAGGCCCTCTCCGTGTGTGCGCGTCTCAGCGGGGCGGCGACCCCTCGGGGCCCTCGCTGGTGTCGGAGTCTCGCAACTGGGAAGCCGCCGGGCTCAAATGTGCCCCAAAGGCGGCGAGCGAGCCGGGAGGGAGGAGCGGCGCAATGGCTTGTCCGTCTGCGGCTTCTTTCTCATCCTCCCGCTGTGGTGGTTGTCGGTCGGCAGGTCCCGCAGCTGAACTCGGACATCCTCCCCCAGTACGAGCAGGAAGCGCCCAAGACGCCGCCGCGCATCATCCTGCACTACTGCGCCTTCAAGACCACGTGGGACCGGCTCATCCTCGTCCTGACCTTCGACACGGCCGTCCTGGCGCCCTACAACGCGTCCTCCAAGAGCAAGCCCAGCAACGCGGCCTGGCTGGCGCCGGACGGCGCGCCGGACGCCGTCTTCCTGGTGGACGTGGCGCTCAACTTCCGCGCCGCCTTGGTGGGGCCCGGCGGCGAGGTGCTCTCCGACCCCCAGCTCATCCGCACCAACGACCTGAAGACCGGCTTCGTCATCGACCTGCTCTCCTGCCTGCCCTACGACATCGTCAACGCCTTCGAAAACGTCGACGAGGTGCGTGGCCCGGTCCGGCTCTCTCTTTCGCCGCCCGTACGGCGGAGCGACGTGGCGCTGCACCGAGCCGAAAGTCCACGCCGCGCATCTCAAATCAGCTCTTCCCCTCCGAAACGAATGTCCGCGGCAGCGCTCCTCCCGTCCCCCGCGGGCGGCCGCTCGGCCACCGGGGGGCACCGCGCCCTTTCGCCTACGATCGGGCACGTTCGGCTTCTGCTTCCTTTGCCGTCGTTCCTGCTCGCAGGATGACGAGGAAACGGGTGCCCGGCAGTCTCATTTATCCGCCTGCGGCGCGTTTAACCATCTCGGTTGCTTGTCAAATCGCAACTGTCGATTCTCTTTGTGCCTCGTTGGCACTTTCCATTGGTGTTAGCGTTGAGCTCGTCGGCCCTTCTTCAGACCCGCTCGTTGCGACGACACCCCGCGCGATCCTCTGGCTTTTCGCTTGCGTTTGCAAGTGAACTTTCACCGGGAGGGAGTGGCGCTCAGTCGCTCGTCGCCACCTTGGAGGAATTTTAAACGTAGGTCAGCCACGCCCCTCCGTCTTTGTCGCTGTCAGATCAAGCGCGCGAGACGCCGCAACCCTCGCCCGAGAATCGGCAACGGAAAAGGCTCCGTCCTCTCTGAGCCTCCGTTTACTGCTCGCTGAGCCGAATAGTGTCCGGTTCGCGGGCCGGAGGCGGCGGGCGCGAGTGCTCAGAGAGGCGAAAGTTGGGGCGAGTTCATTTCAAGATTTGAAAACAAATCAGAGGATCTGAAAAAGAACTCTAAAATGAGCCGGAGTAGGAGTGATGCGCGCCCTCCTACGAGCTCCAGCTAGGAGGCCGGCAGCGGCATTTTGGAGCAACTGGAGACGCTCGATGGAGCATCGATCGCCAGACTCCAAAGTCAAATCTGTTCCGGTCTGGGGTGGGGGTGCAAAGGGAAGACGAAGAAGAAGCAGCTGAGAGCGTCCAGCGGTCATGCCGCAATCTTTTTGGCTGCTTCGCACTGCAGCCTTTGCCAAAATGCCTGCCAAGCGCGCACGCGCGCGCGCGCCGATGAGAGGTGTGATGTGAACGAGCAAGATTCTTCTTGGGGTTTTTTTGGTTTGTTTTTTTCCTTCTGACATTTCGGCCCTGCTGTACGCTTTTATTTAAAAACGGCAACAACGCCCACACGGACGCGCGCGCGCGCGCACTGCCATGGCTGGAAAACAACTCAAAGGTGATGGAACAGTCTTACCGGGAGATAGCGGTCGCCCCCTGAGGGTGCGTGCGCGTGCGTGTGGGAAGCCGCCGGTCGTGCACGGCATCGTTGCAGAGGCGCCGCCGAGCTTCCCGAGTGTCGTGCGACATTTTCAATGCCGAGTGGCAGTCGTGATGGGTGGCGGCGGCGCTGGCTGGGACAAAGCAGAACCGTCATCGCTTCTGGAGCAAAGAGGGGAGGCCGGCGGTCGCCAATCAGAGGAGGCGGAGGGCCCCAGA